GACCGATGTAGCTTGGATATGCGTTTCTCGTTTATATGGCCTAACCTACAATGCCATAGGTATGTTTGGTTCAAACCGTTCGGTTTGTTCCTCTTGGCTGATATGTTATAGACAGGCATGTCCAAGTCAAGGACATATAACCCATTGGTCATGTTGGCATTAGCATATAAAACATTCTTTCTGTAAACGGAAAGGGACTTGTCTTTAATAGAAATGATGAAACCACTCTTATCAAGACATGAAACAGAAATAATGTTTCTGCTAATCGCAGGAACGTACAAGCAATCGTTTAATTCCAACATTAGACCACTAGGCAAGACTAAACTATAAGTTCCGATTGCCAAAGCTGCAACAGGTGCACCATTGCCGACTCGGAGTTCAATCTCGCCTCGAGCTAACCGTCTACTCTGCTTCAGTCCCTGCATGGTAGTACAAATATGAGACCCACATCCAGTATCTAGTACCCATGATGAAGATATATGTAACGCCCCGAAATCTGGTCCAAAAGAATTAATTAAATTGTTAGAGCAATTGATCACGAATTGGGCCTAAAAAGGGGTTAAAATTAAAATTTGGATTCTAAGCCCAACTTTTATGTCATCTCGTAGGAAATATTTTTGTGATCGCGTCGGTTCAGACGGCTCGCGAATCGGAGTTATGGAGCTCATGTTATGACCATTTAATCAGGTATTTTAGGTCCGAAGCCCAATCCTTTTAGGAATGGGATCATTAATTAAAACCTAAACCTATTATCTACCACACGATCGTTATCTTCTTCTTCTCCTTCTCCTTCTTCTTCTTCTTCTTCTTCTTCTTCTTCTTCTTCTTCTCCTTCTTCTTCTTCTCTTTCTTCGTCTTCAACAGCCGCGGTCGTCGCCTCCACTGCCAGCGCCGGTCGCCCTTCCCCAGCCAATCGCCTCCGCTGCTTCCTTCGCCAGAGGTCCGCCGTCAGCACCAGCGCCGCCGACGACGGTTCACCTCGTCGTTCTGCCGGTCGTCGCCTCCACTGCCAGCGTCGGTCGTCCTCGCCATCGAGCTGCAGCGCCGCTGTTTCTCCTTCGCTGGAAGTCCGCCATCATCGCCGTCAAGTGCAGCGCCGCTGTTTCGCCTTCGCCGGAAGTCCGCCATCATCGCCGTCGGGTGCAGCACCGCCACGCCGAGCGCTGGACGTCGCCTCCACTGCCGGCGTCTTTCCTCGCCGTCGAATTGCAGCGCCGCCAGTCGCTGCTCATCACCGTCGAGCTGCCGCTACGCCACTGTCGCCGGCGTCTGTCACCGTCGCCGCATCCAGCCGCTGCCCCAAATTGATATCGCCGGCAGATTAACCTCCACGCCGGATTGATTGGTCGATTTCGCATTTTGACTCAATTTGACCCGTTCGTTTGATTTCGTTGATTTGTCTTTCGTTCGAGCTATCGATTCGATTTCGGCGTAATCCAGGTCCGTACTATGAAGTTAATAGCATTTAGAATAGATTTAATGGTTTGGATCGTTATATGTGTTTATGCTATAATTTGGCTAAATTGGTTAATGGAATTAAATTGATTAGTTGAATTGAATTGTTGAGGATTGCGAATTGACTGAACAGGTTTGACTTTGACTTGGGTAGGGTCCTGTTTGACTTGGACTTTGACTGGATATTCTGTCGACGTAGGTTTGACCGAATGGTTAAATCCAAGACTTTAATGAATTAGTTAAGTTAATTAATTAATTCTAATCGGTGATTAAGGTCAATTGGTTTATTATGTCGAACATAGAAACTGGCCATTGCTCGGGCGGCTGCAGGGCCTGGTCAGTGAGGTTAAGACGTGCGCACGAGGGTATGTGATCTTGGGTTTGAGGCTATCGCCCGAGGGATCCTACCTCCACCGAATTGAGGCTATCTTCGGTATTACGGATTGAGGCTATCTCCGTCATAGGCATTAAATGTTAAGTGGTTTGACTTTGGTGAAAGTCTAAATTGGTTTGACCGGTGGTCAAAGAGTTAATGAGAAACCCGTAACACCTAAATCATTTTGAAAAGAAAGAAAATAAGTTGACTGTTGGTCAACCGTCTAAAGAACCGAA